AAAAAAAAATCAGAAGATCGATACGAGTGTAATAATTCTAACTCGATTACTTATCGAACAAATATCAATATGAAATATAAATAGAAATGAAGGACAAGAACTCACAGTGGCAGCTTCACACCTTGCCCTAACAGAAAGCCTAGCTCTTTGATTATGCGCCGGAGAATTGATTAAATTATTATTATTATTGCTAATTATCTGTGGCTGATTATTATTATCATGGCCTTGTTGTAATATTGCTCTAAACCCTCTCATCCGATCCAATTCCTCCCTTTTCTCGTTCGTTTCCTCTTCGACTCTACTAATACAACTGCTCGAAACCCTCAAAGATAACCCTAATTCATCGTCTTCTCGTTTATCATCGTCGTTTTCCTCGTTATTCGTCGAATCTTGTTTTTGATCATCCAGCAACAAAATCATATTGGGATTATCCTAAATCAAATAAATATAAATTAATAAAATATGTATATAAATATATAATTATTAATTAGTATATTATTTTTATAAGTTAATTATATATATATACATACCTTTATGTGATTACTTTCTTGAATAATGGCAAATTGTGTCTGAAGATGAGTGTACTCTTTCATCGTTTTCTCGACTGCGGTTCGTAAAATCTTGTTCTCTTCCTTCATGTGATCCATCCTCTTCTGCAGAACAGATAGCTGAAAAAAAATGGACTTAATTCTAATTAATTAATTAGTTAACTAACTTAATTTATTTTCAAGAAATTATACATACAACATGCATGAGTATTGTGTGTGTGTGTTTTTTTTCTTGGAAAAAGAACTAATAATTAATAATAATAATATATAATACCTCATCGGTGATGCTGAGGCCCTTATCATCATCAGTATCAGTATCAGAAACACGATTTACAGATTGTTGTTGCGGATCGAGGTTGGATGAAATTGTGCTTTGATCAAGATTGTTGTTTGGTGATTGTTGATCTTGTGCATCCAGTTTTAGTGACAGATCAATTTCCATTACTGCACTTTCTTCTTCTTCTTCTTGATATCTTCCCATATAAATATATATAGAGAGAGAGAAAAAAAAGAGAGAGATATAGATACAATCTTCTCTCTGTATCTGTCTGGGCACAGAAGTCTATTCTTTGTGATCCGAAATAAAACGAGTTTATATATAGTAATATGAACACCACAAATGGTAATAGACACTAATATATATATATATATATATATATATATATATATATATATATATATATATATATATATATATATATAACTACAGAAGCAATTAATTAGGACGCATCTAATCTTGACTTCAACCTTTATATATATACATCGTCCTTAATATTTTTCCAATGGTGTGAAATGACTATTTTACCCCTCTAAAATCAATACGTATTTATGGGTTTTCTAAAATCAATGCGTATTTATTTATGAGCTTTATTAATGCATGTGTCGCAATCTTAAACGATAGTTATTTTGAAGTGGAGGAAAAATTTAAGCCAAAGGAGCTCAGATGATGTGAGCGCGATATTCTGCTTCAATATTAGATTGAGATATAAATATAAATGTTGTTTCTTGCTTCTATATGAAATTAGAGATGAGCCGAGAAGAAAATGATATCCAGTAGTGGATCTGCTATTAGTGGGATCTCCTGCCAAATCACTGTTAAAAAATGTACGAAGAATCAGAGGCGACCGGGTACAATAGAAAAGACCATGAAACAGGGTGCCCGCGAAGTATAGAATAATGCGAATGACAACATCATAATGTACCGACCTTGGAGTAGACAAATATTGGATCACTTGATGGAATGTATATGAGATATTTGAACGAGTAACAGTAAGATCTTTCATTTTAAACTGTTCACTGAGAAAATCCTTCAGTTCTTGACTTCCACTAGAATCATCACCGTTTATAATCATGTCATCTACATATAAAATAAGTGAGATAGTGCATTTGTCAGTACGACCGAAAAATAAGGTAGAATCATAAGAACTGCTAGAGCAACCCAATCGAGAAGCAATATATATATAAGCCAACCAAACTAGAACTTATAATCCCAACATAATTATATAATAATAAACTCCTAAATATATATTAACAAAAAGAAAAAGAAAAAAAAAAGAAAAGTACATAATGAAAGATATATTGAGCAATATTTCTTCAACAAAAACCAATAAAACCTAGGGTCATCAACTCTATGTTTACTCAAACAAAACCAAACCAAGGGCAATTATGGGAAGATAGCTTACAATAATTCTTAACAAAATACTTGTACTCATAGAGAAGATTTTCCTTGGTGTTATTTATATGAATATTATATATTATTGTGTGTGTGTGTGTGTGTGTGTGAGAGAGAGAGAGAGAGAGAGAGAGAGAGAGAGAGAGAGAGAGAGAGAGAGAGAGATGAGCGAAGGTACGGAGTTCTATAAACTGAGGAATATTGGGATCTGATCTCAAAATAGTCAACTAGAAGACTTTCCACCCTCTTCCCATTTTCCATTAATCCTTGAGGGTTGAAATTCTCAAATTTAAATTTATTTATTTTTAATTATTTATATTATTAATTAATAATAATATACATCAACTTCTCCACCACCTTCTCTCATGTTAAAACAATTTGATGATTTTAATTCAATTAATTAATATTAGCTTCTGATAGTTATTATTATTATTATTTTATTTAATATATTTTGCTCATTTCTTCACGCTAGAGTTCACAATTTGTTTGAAATATTAAGCATGAAACAAAAGTCTAATAATCCAAGAACGTCAAAATAAAATATAAAAATGGATATTCTAAGTATACGATTATTTGCATTTTATTTTACTTTTTTGCAAAATTAAAAATATATATATAAAAAAATGCATGGTCTATTTAGTTATACGGGTTTTTCGCCAACTAAATAGTATTTTTGGTCGATATTTGTGTAATCGATCGGATGCTTTAAATAAATATAGTACAAGACATATTTAATTAATTTAATTAGGAGTATTTTGAAAAATGTTTAAATTAAATAAAACTTTTTTTCACCAATTTTTTTTTGGAATTAATTTGAAAGACAAGCTTCCAAATGTAATTGGTTGGATCCAAGAATTGACTTTTTTTCGAATAGCGTTGACTTGTGGAAGAGCAAGCGTCGCCGCAGCTAATTCTGCCTTATTTTCATTTAAATATTTTATCATGTAATTTTATAAATATATATTAATGTGTGTGTGATTTGGAGTGACTTAGGGATCGATCATTGCATTTAATTAAAGTTTAAACAATGTAATAATTAATTAATTAAAGTTGCATTGGAGTTTGTTTCCGATTCGATCTAGCTATTTGACCAAGGTCCCATACATTTTTTCTTTTGTTTTAGTCTTTTTTTTATTATCCTAAATTCATAATTTACTAAATACCATTATAAATATATAAATATTGCTTAAAGAAAAGGTTCTAACTTAAATATGAGTTGATCATATATCTGAATATCATATTTTCTTTGATTCAAATTAAAGATTACGCTTTAGATGTAGTTTATGACCAGAAGCGAAGTCAGAATTTTAAGTTTTCCGAGCCACATACATTTAAAAAAATTATGAGGGGGTCAATAATACTAATTATACATGATTTTTTAAATCTTTGCATAAAAAAATAAAGATTCTAAAATTGTTTGCGCGGAGTGGGTCCCTTTTGTTCCTATACTGGCTCCGTCATTGCTCATAACATCCTGGTTACATGTAGTGGTTTTGAGTCTACTTGAGCTTATATTTTTATATCGATCGATTAAGAAATATCGGGATCCAATTTCCCTTTCATTGTGTCTATTTATGAAAGATTGGAAAATTTTAAATAATTTGATAGCTAATTAGGAGGTAATTAGTTGGGTAACTCTAAATTATAAGGGTGTTAGAGATATTCAAAGGAAAATTTATTTTTTTTGTAGGCTTGGGTCCACTAACAAATTCTTTTCACACCAATTCTTTCTAGAATTGATTTAATTGAACATACATATAATAAAATAAATATATAGATGCAGTCAACTTCTCTAAATAACTCTTAGATATGTTAACTTTTAAATTTCACGACAGAGGTTTATCCAGTACATATATATAATCGATTGTGGATTATTTCTTTGATATAAAAAAAATGGAATATATAAAACATATACAAGATAATAGAAATTGAGACTCTATTTTTTTTTTAATTAAATGATGTACTAATTTCAACTTTGTTTACCCATTGTTTTCATGAAACTTTAAAATTACTATATTTCTCCATACATCAAGGATCAATCCACTAACCTTGGGGTTAGTAATAACTAATAATAATAAAATAACAAGAAGAAGTTTATAGGCTATATAATTTGATTAGGAGTTACTAATCTAATGTTGTTCCAAAATAAACATCAAAATTTTGAAAATTGGAATTAAGAATGTATTTTATAATGGAAAACTCCAAAATCGAAAATTCCTTTTTTTATCCATGTGCAATATAAAATAAATATAATATTGTTACAACTTATAATTGTAATTCTCATAAACAAACTGTATTTTTGTGAACTTATTTTCGAAAATCGAAATCGAATCGGAAATTGAAATCTCAAGTATATTCCAATTCGGAAAAAATTGAATTTCTAGAATTTGGAAACGTATTACTCCATAATCCATTTCTTTTTTTATCGAATTTCCCCCGAATTCGATAATTTTGTCCATTTTTTCTACCACATTAGTCAACCAATCTTCAATTTCCTCAAATTTGACCACCTAAGCTAAATAGCCAACCTCTATTACCCTAATTATAGCCTGCTAATGTTAGGTTTAATTTATATATAACTCTAATTATCTTACAAGACTACATTGACAAAACAAATACTTAATATATACATATTATAAACATGCATAATGGTCTTCATTTTGGGCATTTTAGTCATCACAAAATGTAGACTTTTTGTGGAATTCTTCATCCGATTGTTTATAGATTAATTGCAGGCATGGTTCTAAAATTTTGTAAAATTGAAAATAGTACTTGTTTAAGATATTAATTGTAAGTCGTTTGGCTAAACTTATTTCAAACAATTGATAAACTTCTACATCTGATAGGCTGTTTTAAGAGCTGATAAGTTATTACGTTTTATTTATAGAATTTTTTAAGTTGTTCGAATAATGAATTTATAAGTTAGTTTTACTCGAACTAAGATCTTAAATAAAAATATGGGGTAGAGTTACTTTTTAAAAAAGATTTTATTTGCTCTTCGACAACTCGTTTTTCTAATTTTTAAGATTTTAAAATTTTTACCAAACACTTAGAAAGAGCTTATAAGCTCTTAAAGATTTTATAAGTTACTGTTAACAACTTATAAGCATCGCCAAATGCGGTTGTAACTCTAAAATTGGCCACCACCACCACGGAAGACTCCTAATAATACATAATAAATTAATAATAATACATAATAATGATAATAAATTAATTAATAATGCTATGTTGAAAATGTAGAAAAGCCTTGCGTTGTAGCGTGGCCGCTAATCTATAGTTCCATCGTGTGGCCCAAAAGCCTCAATTTCCTAACCACACTATTATGCACCTTAATTACTACATTAGATAACAAATTGTGTAAGGAAAATGTTTGATGATTCCTTAATTACTACATTAGATAAAAAATTGTGTAAGGAAAATGTTTGATGATTTTTTGAGAGAGAGAGAGAGAGTAATTTATTAAGCTCTCTTTGTTTTTTTTTTTTTTTTTTTTCTAAAATAGAAGTAATTTATTAAAATAAGAATGTGTCATGGTAAATTCCTTATAATTAAATAATTTTATTATAAAATTGCCACCCAGAATAATGTTATACAAATACTTAAGCTAGAAAATAAATGTCATAACACTCGACTACCATGGTAACCAATAAAAAAATATCAAGTAATTATCGAAATAATGGTTACCATACGTTTGATACTACCA